TCCCAGCTCTGCAAACAATACGGATCTGGACCTCAGAGCAACCAAGTCAAGACCGGAGATCAGAAGGCTAGACTCGGTGGTTACGATGAGAGGGCAATGCCTGACAACAGCAAGGCAGAGGAGAACGCAAGAGCAACTGGGTGTTCAGACTCAGTGTGCAAAGCATCAGAAAGATGCAATCAGCACACAGGAAAAACAAACAAACAAAAAAAAAAACAGACTCACAGCTGGACAGAGAATGTGACGGAAAATGGCACTGAGGGTCACAGGCCACGGCTTCCCTCGTGATTTCTCATGTGCTCAGCACGGTGTCTCTGGGATAAACATTGCTCTTCCTGGAGATACGAAAACAGTTTTGGAATTTTAATCCTCATGTCAAAAGGCCACACAAACAATTACAGGTGACAACAGATTCCTGCCTGAGTTTACAGTCCTGAGTCAAGAGCCCGGGGTGAGCGCTGATGTCAGCTCTCCAGAAATCACGTGCCATATAGTTTCACTCCCTAGATCTTGGGTTACTTATACGAGACTCTTTAATTCACTCATCTCTCTATATTGTCCCTTCCAATTCTGCATTTTATGATTTGATGGCTTTATAATGTTTAGGGTAATTCTAGAAAGGACACAGAGGGACTAAATAAAAATAACATGACTAGAATTGTAAAATGATGGTGAATAAAAAAATGAATGAAAAAGGAAGGGTGTGATTGCTCCATACGTTTATTGTAGGTATGAGGAAGAGCATAGCCAGGGATATCTGGGAGAGTCAAGAGTGAACATGACCGTGAGCCAAGTGAGCTGAACAGGAAGGGGAGAGGGGAGAGCCAAGAGGGTAAAGGGTAGACAAAAATGGCCAGGTAACCAAAATAGTTGGATTATATAGGGAAGAACAGCCCAGACCCTGGGCTGGAGAAGTTTAGGGTAGGGACGAGGGTATGCCAGCCAGATCCTGTAACAGACAGAGACTGAGGGAGGCTTGGAGAACCTACAGCCTGCCACAGGTTCACTTTGATATGTTAAACAGGCACCTCAGTTAGCCTTTTGTCCCAAGTTTGAGACCTAACAGATGGATGGGGCTGAGGGGACTATGTAGAGGCCATGAAGATTGAGATAGTCCATGCAGAAGATGTAAGAAGCTGAACCTTAACATGGGATGATAGGGGACGAAGGCTTAGTGGGCAATTGAGCCCACCTGTTAGATGTCTCCTACCAAACCGTGGTATGGCATATGGCCTTCGTCAGAGAAACTCCCACAGAAATGTCTAAACAAGTTAGCACAGCAATGGCTATCGTCTTGTACGTAATTTAAAGAAAGGGAGGAAGTTAGCTATGCATAGATAAATTGGCTTCCAAATGAATTCATTAGCCAAAACCTTTCAACTTCAAGGTCAGAGTCTCCTAGGGAAAAGGACAGGCCTTTTAACATTTGCAGGGCAGACCTAGCATATGGCGATAACTATCCTAAGCTTTGCTTCAAAGTGTATTCAGTGCTAAAGCACCTATGAGAGGCAGCCTGGTCCCTCATCCGGGGAACAGAGCAACCATTTGGGAGTCAAGGCCGCGTGCTCAGGCGTTGCCTACTGACGCTGAGCAGGCGAGTTGGTCACCCATGGCTCAGTTTACTGACCTGTGAAATGAAAGCACTAACTTCAGAAGTAAAATCATCCGTCTCTCTCCCATTTTTCTCTTTTTTCTCTCTCTCTGTGTATGTAGGGAATGCATGTGTGTGTGTTTATGCATGTTGGGGCATGTGTGGGTGCTAACATGCTCATGTGGATGCCCACTCTTTTGTCAGGAATTATCCTTCACTGCTTTTCCATTTTAGTCACCTAGGCAAGAGTCTCTCAATCAAACAGAGTGTGCCAATATGGCTCCTCTCTTGGCCTTCTTTCTCTTTCTCTCTCACTCCCACGAAACCCTCATGGCCTAGTCCAGTCTGGACTCTTCCAGATGCCTCTGGCTGTCCTCTCCCTCACATCTACAATAAACATCTCCTCAGCCGCACCGTGGAGGGGTCATGAACTCATTTTCATTCAGGTGGCATATGCAGAAAGAATCTACAACAAGCAGTCAATGTTTACAGAAGTGGAGCGTTAACAGTCAGATGGCAGGAAGTTAACCTTTAACTCGGAGTCACCTTCTATAGGAATTTAGGGCTGGTCCAGAGACCAGTTTACCACAGGAATTTAGGGCTTGTCGAAGTGACTAGAGACCAGTTTTACCCAAGATAGTTTTGGCGCTTAAAGTATTCTTAGGAAGACTTTGATGAGGTGGCATAACTGTAACGCAGTAGCCCTACTACACTTATTTGTTCCTATTTTATCTTACTTTAGTAATTATTATTTTAGATGCCTGCTTGTCTTATTTTTTCTTTATTTTTTTTTATTCCAGGCATCTCTGTATTTATTCTTTGATAAAATGAATCAATTATGAAACAACCACCAAGAGTCTCTTAGTCAGGATATATAGTTTTCAGCATTCTCACATATGGTTTTAATAGCTGCCCCTAAAAATAATTGAATTTATGATTATTATTCTTGGGTATCATGCCTAATTGTGCATATGATATCAACAATATTTGTATTGTCGGTGATAATTATTCTTTTTTATTTTATTTTCTTCTTTATATTTTATATTTTTTTATTAATTATAGTTTATTCACTTTGTATCCCAGCTGTAGCCCCCTCCTTCATCCCTTCCTAACCTCACCCTCCCTCTCTCATCTCCTCCCATGCCCCTTTCCAAGTCCACTGATAGGGGAAGTTCTCCTCCTTTCCCTCTGACCCTAGTCTATCAGGTCTCATCAGGACTGGCTACATTGTCTTCCTCTGTGGCCTTGTAAGTCTGCTCCCCTATAAGGGGGAGGTGATCAAACAGCCAGGCACTGAGTTCATTTCTAATGAGAGAAAAAGGAAGTATGGGGATTTGGGTGGATGGAGAAGTACTGAAAATTTGAGAAGAGTTGGGAGCTAGGAAATTCAGAATTTATTGCATGAAAAAAAAATCTATTTTCTATAAAATTTTTATTTAAAAAAGTAGAATGAAAAATAAAGCATTAAGAAAAATGAATCTTCCTTTAATGTTATCAGAGGCTTTCAAGCAGAAATCAGTGGTATGTGCTCCTGTGAACTGGATCAGGGCCTGGGACTGCTCTCCCAAACTAATGCTTTCCAAAGGTTCCAATATGCTGTTGGAGTCTTCCTCCTCACTACCCACTGTTGGGCTTCAGACCCAGACAAGGAGCTGAAGTGCCTCTTTATCCAAGGTGGACCTGTCCACCAGGTTCTCCCAGCATTCCTGGGTCCCTACCTGCTGTAGGGCATGGCTGGTATACCCTGCCCTCTCTCCAGAACTCCTCAGCCTAGGAGCAGGGCTTCACCATCCCTACAGGCTCTTCACTATATAATCCAGACATTTTGGTTCCCCCTTTCTCTTCTCTTCTTCTCTCTCCTTTCTGTGTTTCCTCTTCTCTCTCTCTCTCTCTCTCTCTCTCTCTCTCTCTCTCTCCCTCTCTCTACCTATGCAAAGGCCAGTGAGCTGCTCCCAGAAAACCTGCATTCATATACTTTCACTTATCCTGAATTAGCTCATTCTACCGCCTCAAAAAACCTTATGACCCACTACTACTGCAACTTCCGCTTTGAAAAGTTTACTCTGGAACAGGAGAAATACTCTCCCCAGGGAAGAGCGTGCTAATTGGTTGTCCAACATTTCAGGTCCAAAGGAGACTCCAAATACCCTCATCCCAAAAGGCAGTCCATATATCCAGAAATGAGCTCCACCTGAACAACAGGAAGATTTCTGGGAGTTAGATAAAAACCAGCATTCCTCAGGAGCCTGTGACACTGGTTCCCATCTGAAAGGAGCCATCTCCCTTACCTCAGGAAGAAGGGCACATGCATAGCTGCGGTGCCTAGCAGAATACCAAAGCCCATGTTGGCCTCCAGCCTCCCTCAGTGTCACAAGGACCTGTTACATGTTTCAGAGTCCTTCCCACCTCCTCCTTTACCTTAAACTCCCTCCAGCTCACAGGATATCCTTCCTAAGCTACTCAGCCTTCTAATAACCCAGCTCTTCTCGCTATTATTTGTTCCTGCTAGTCTCACTATGTTCTCTTTGTTCTTTATCTCCATTTATTCTCCCCTCTTCCTCACAGACAGCCTTGGCTAACAACAGACAGTCTGTTGTCCATGGTCAGTTTACTTCTTTCTCTCTCTGCAATAGAGTCTTTCAGATGCTTCTAGAGATTTTCGCTCTTGCACATCTACAAAAGAGAGAGAGAGAAAAAGAAAGAAGGCAAAAAAGAAAGGCATGAAGGAGGAAAGAAAGAAAGAAAGAAAGAAAGAAAGAAAGAAAGAAAGAATTAAGAAATTAAGAATTAAGAAATTCTCCTTAACCATACCATGGAGCAGTCATATTTTCAATTTCTTTACTTTACCCTCCTAATATACAAACATCAAGTCAGCCCTCAAATTTTATATATACATATACATGCAGTGATAACAAAGAAAAAAAAGCCATGAATTTGGAAGGTAGCAAGGGAGGAACATGGGAGGGGCTGGTGGGGGAAAGAAAAGGAGAGAATGATATGATTATATTTTAAGTTTAATAAATAAATAAGTTTTCAAAAAAAGGAAAATTTAGTGCCTCCAAATAAATATAAATAGAGATTAGAAGCTAATAAAGCTGACTGCTTGTTCAGTAATTTTGATAAGTTGTCAGAACTCCTTGGGAACCAGACATGTCGGGTATGGATCTGACAGCCACAACTGGGGGTCAAGTTCATCTTCCCCTTTCCAGAGTTCAGCTATTTGTCCCTGGGTTTAAAAGCAACGTTCTCTTATTTTATTTTATTTTATTTTATTTTTTTAATGAGAAAGGAAAAGGGGGATTCTCTTAGTCGGTTTGTTTGCTTGTGTGTTTTAATTCCTAATCTCCATTGTTTACTTACTACTTGGCTTTGTCTCAGATAGGTTTGTGGCCATCCTGGAATTCAACCTCTGGACAAGGTTCTCCCTGCGGCTACAACGCTTTGCAACTAAAATCACTCAGAAGACACAGCTGGGGAGCTCCTGAGCCTGGACATTCCTTCTCCACAGACATCTCTTCAGTGCAGATATCTCAAGCAAAACTATGGAGCCTCAAAGACAGAGTTTGAAGCCGGCCCTGCCCTTGTCTTTGGAAACATATCACATTTCTGAGGAGTATGGCTTTCTCCTTCCACATCCTCTGGTAAGGATCGGTACAGGTGTCTACATTGTGTTTACTTAACGTGGTTACTCTAAGGCTCAGTATATACCAAGTTGCCAGCCGGAGGAAGAGGCTGGAAATATTGTCCGGTGATTCCTGGCAACAGCAGCAGCTGCTGCGGCATGGGACAGCTCAGAGCCAGTGCTTCCCAGCTCTCCTTAAATATATGGTAGTGAACCCCAAGTAATCAGGAGCAAAGGGGCTGCCAGAGAGGAGAGACTGGATGGGGACACGGTAGGAGGACATTTAGACCCTGTAACAGCAAAATGCTGCGGACGCGCATTCTGCCCGCAAAGTGTGACACAGAATAATAGATCTCCCAGTGTGGATCCACTCTGCTGTGGAGACAGATTTGCCTTGCCAGGCACCAGAACAGAGAGACCTCGACCTCTAAACAGCCAAAGGGCTTAGACTTCTGTGTTGATGCTAATCAGTTTATCTTACTTGCCAGTGGCAGCAGAGACAATTGGAGACCTTTAGTGTTTTCAGGGCTGGTAAAAGGATTAGATGGTATCAGGAATTTGGGAATTTCCGAGAAGCGGAAGGAACTCAGAGAAAACAAGCAGGCCCAACTTTCAGTCCTACCTGCACACGCTCCTGCTTACCAGCTGGACTGTATCAGCCCTGATCCCTGAGCTTGGAAGATGTGTCCAGGCAAAATGCTACTGGCAAAGCCGAGGATGCTCTTGGCATTTTTTAAAAATTGGCCGTAAGGGTGAAGGCCACTCTGTTAAAGGTCTAGGGAGATGATGTTGCCACCATTTTAACTGCTAATCTGCACCGACACCCTGCCTCCATCTAGTTCCTTTACTTATGGTTAAAAAATATCAGGAACTCCAATACTTTTCGATGAGACTTTCATTTGCTCGGGTTTGAAATAGGGCCTAGCTCTGTAGCCCAGGCTGGCCACTCGCCTCAGCTCCCTTACTGCAGAATCGTGGATAAGCTCCCACTCCTGATCTTTTGTGCTGAACGTTAGTGGAGGGATCTTATTGGAGGGAAGAGCTAAGCCCTCTGCAGAAAGCTGTCATCTGTGACATCGGGTCACAGATATGCAAGTGGCCAGGTGGACAGGTGTTCATTACGACAGGGGACTGCACCTTTAGGCCAGTCCTTACTGCCTGAATCAAGCCATGCCTTCCTGCAGAAGCTCTCTCTGGGGTGAAGAGTTAGGAAGCAGTCTGTACATGACAGCTCTCAACGTATGATTCCTGGCTCCTCCATGCTCCTTGTCACACAGGTCATACTATAAATTCTCTAAACTAAAGCACCTGACATGACTTCCTGATGCCTCATGAAGTTATTAAAAGTCAGATTTCTTCCTTGATATGGGAATTGGTTTGAGAGTCCTCAAGGGATTTGCTGAGGGAGGGGCTCTGAAGGCTGCTTCCCCCAGCTCCTCTGTGCCACCAACCCTCTCATAGTCTCTCTCTCTCTCTGTATTTGGAAGGTAGGGGGATCGGCCTGGGCTACACAGCTAGATCTTGTGATCTTGTTTCTGTTTCAAAACTGTTTCAAAACCTCAAGCAAAACACCACAAAGCACACACCATTCTGCCCCATACCTGGCCTCCTTCCAGAATATTCCCATCCTTCCAAGTTCACGGGAGAGGAAGGGCAGATGGCAGACACACCCTTGTCATCATTAAAGCACGTGTACTGAGTTTGGAGAGATAACACTGCAAAGCAGGGAAACATCAGGTCAGGCCGTAGCTACAGGGTTTTCTATGCTGCTTTCCTCTTTATAAATATTGGGACCAGATAAGACACAATAGCAATATCAAGTTTTCCTCTCATTTTTCAGAAAGAATCTATGTTGTGGTTTGAAAGAAATCCCCAGCCCTGCTTCACACAGAAGAGAAAAATACCCTATTCCAACCATTACTTGTTTATATCCAGTGCTTTCAATATGATTCTTTGTTCCTGTTTTAATTTTTTCTTTCATTTATGTGAGGGTTTTAAATGTCTTTTCTGGTAAAGGAGAAGGAAGAAACTTCGATTTGAATCAGTCCCTGGCTACCCCAAAGGTCAAGACAGACTCAATTCTATCTTACTGGACAAATAGTTTTGCAACACATCACTGCTTAGCAAAGAACAGTGGGTGTGACTCAGCCCGCTGCTCCAGGGCACAGCCAAGACCAGTTCTTCTCAGGCCAAGGGCCAGTGTTGGGCTGCCCTTGATGCATCTCTTTCAGGTGGTCACTGGGTTCTGTATTATAAATCCTTGCCAGAAAGTCTCACTGAAGAAAACATAGTTGGCTCCTGAATCAGAAGGTATGACACTATGCAGATATTTCTATAAATTCAGAGACTTCTAATTCCCAGAGTCTCTGTGGAAATTCGCTCCTCACATCTGCAAAAAAAAAAAAAAAAAAAAAAAAAACACAAGAATTCTTTGATGAGACATCTGTCCCCTGTGTATGTCAGGGAGGAGAGCAAAACACCTCCTCAGACCAAGAATGCAAGGAAGTCAGTCTGCAGCAAGAGGCAGGGCTGTAGCCAAGCTGAGACCTGCAGTGGCAGGCTCTGGGGATTGATTTAGTGCCCTTCGTAAACACAATGTGACTTCTATTTCAGTCACTTCCTCGAGCAGCACTCAGGGCAGGGCAGGCTAGAGCAGTGGCTCCTGAGCTGCGTGCTGGGACCGTTAGGAGGGTTTAACAAACAGTCCCAACGTCAGTGCCTCACCCTGTGTACTCAGGCCGCGGCGCTGCGTGCCCGCCCAACCAGAGGGTAACAAGCCGGCAAAGCCAGCCCTGAAGGTGCCACCGCCAGCAAAAGCTCCTAGAAGGCCTTGGAATTAGCTAAGGTGCAAAAATACAGGAAGCTGATGACATGACCCGCTCCCTGCTATGGAGAAGGGGAAGGTTTTGTTGTAGAGATGAGGACAAGAACAACTGGAGGCATCCAGAAGAGTCCATAGCACAGAGAGAAAGAAGCAGACTGAGTATGGCCATCTGACTGGACATGGCCAGGGCTATCTGGGAGAACAGAAGAAAACAGAGAACAGAGAAAAACAGTGAGAGGAGGAAGAGCAGAGGCAGCAGCGGGCAAGGTGTGTGTGTGTGTGTGTGTGTGTGTGTGTGTGTGTGTGTGTGTGTAGAACTTAGCACGAATAGCGTGGTTATAAGAAGAATGAGTAGCTGGGGGAAGGGAGCCCCTGAGGTGCAGGGACTTTAGGGTAAGGGAAGAGGCCTGAAGGGTTAGGGTGCTAGCTAGCATGGACTCTGAAACGTATAACAGGTATTTGTGATTCTGAAGAAGCCTGGAGTAGCCATGTATCTCTTCTCCAAGGGGAAGGGGAAAGACTCCTTTAGGGAAGAGGGGAACCCGTGTCACAAGTCCCTGAGGTATGCTGGTTTTTATCTAATGCCCAGAAGTCTTCCTGTTGTCCGGGTGGATCTCATTTCTGGACATATTGACTACCCTGCAGGGTTTGGGGAATTAGATTCCTTTGGTGCCATAGCGGTAGACAGAAGGACTACGTGACATTGTCCCTGATGGTGTCTGGGTACATCTGACTAGGCAGAGTGAGGACTTGAAATACAATGTATCCACAGTTGATAACAGGGACAAAGAGGCCAGATTGCATAATGGTTAACTTTGACCAAGGTTGGAAAATGTGTATAAAAATAAAAGTGGATATAATGGCTAAAGTGTAGGTTTTTGTGTTGGTATTAGGAAATGAAAAAAAAAATGGAGGAGAGAAAATGGGGACACTGTCAGTAAGACCTGAATAAAAAAAAAGAAAAGGAAGGAAGGAAGGAAAGAAAGAAAGAAAGAAAGAAAGAAAGAAAGAAAGAAAGAAAGAAAAAGAAAATAGAGGAAAGGACATGAGTGGTTTCAGGTTTTGGCACCAGATGAAGGAAAAAAAAGTAAAAAAGAAATAAAAAGGAAAGGGCATGATTGCTCTTTGGTGTGGTCGAGGAGAGGAGAAAGTTTATTATAAATAAAAAAGAGCTCTCCCTAGCCAGAGACAGTGACATTAGAAGAGTCCAGAGAGGTCATGATTCTGAGCCAAGTGAGGAGAATGGGGAGGGGAAGGGAGGTGCCAGTGGAGCAGCCAGGAGGCCCCAAAGACAGAACCGGTAACCAAAATGGCTGGATTATATAGGGGGAAAGGGCAGCCAGTCTCGGGCTGGAGAAGTTTGGGGTAGGAGCAGTGTATGTCAGCCCGGAGGACCCTGTAACAATAGGTAGGGACTGAGGGATGCTGGGAGAACCTGGCAGCCAGGTCCACTTTGATATGTTAAGTAGGCACCTCAGCCTTTTGTTCTGAGTTCAAAACCTACCAAGGTCTAAGCAAGAAGGAACAGTAGAGCCTAAACCGGAAACCAGAGTTTTAAGTGGTGAAGCAACTGAAAACGCTGTCTTCTAGCAAGCCACCCAAACTATAAAGAGTCTTAAGACAATCCAGGGAGCAAGGAGATGGCTAACACATCCTAGGAATTAATGCTAAATTCAGCACTGGAAAGCACACACCTCGTACAGGAGGCTCCCAAGATGTATTGATTTCCTAGAACAGCTGTTACATAGGACCCAAACTCTGGTGGGTTAAGCTAGCCGAGACTCAGTCTGAATTCTGGAGATGGGAGGTCTGAAAACTAAGGTGTCAGGCACTCAGGCCAAAGCCTTCAGTGGAAAATCTGTCCAGGGTTCTGGGAGCTTCAACTGCTCCCTGGCTCCTGGCATTCTTCCCTGTGTTCATCTTTACATGGCTTTCAGCTGCTCTGCGGCTCCTCCAGGGCTGTTTTTGTTGTTGTTTTCTTAGAAAGATGCTGCTCATTGGTTTGAAGACCCAAGCTAACCCCAGATAATCTCATCTTTAAAGATCCCTCTTTGAATAATACCACATTCTTAGTTCCTAGAGGACAATTTGCTTTTTGAAGACTTGGGCAAAGTGTGAGCAGATGGAGCAACCTCAGTAATGCTAACTGGAGGAAAAAAAAAATAATTGTCATTTCCTGAGATTCCCAAACCTGA